TGTATGTTTCCATAAAGTCACTTTTGACTCTTCTGAACTCTAGAGGATACAGGCCTAGACTGTCCAGCCTTTAATCTTAGTCGTTTCATTCCAGATAGTAGTGTATTATAATATAAAAGAATAAACAGTTTATCGCTAGTGCTACATAAACCTAAAACTAAACATATATAATTTTTTTTGTCCTGTATTTGCTAAGTGTCAGTGTGATGCCTGTGACTGCATATTGTCTGCCAGTGCCTTGAAGTCTGGTTGTAGTTTGAAACTGCTACTTGAATACAGTCTATCAAATGTGTATTTGTGAGATGGGTGTGAAACTGGAATTGATTATTTTGTTTTGGATGTTTTGGTTTATTTTTCTGAGTTTTAATATGGAGCCAGAGAGTGACAACACTATACAACACTTTTCACTGTGTTTTGTAACAAAGTACATGTGACAACAAATAAATCAAATCAAATCAAAAAGGTACATGGAGTGAAGGCAAGCTTTCGCATTAAAAGCGCAGGATAATAAGAGTGGATTTTTTTTGTCTGTCTGAGGGTCCCCAAAAATCATTATCTCTTGATCTGCCTTTCAGCTCAATATGACTTTGCATGCCTTCCAGATGCAGTGCTGTTCAAAGTGCACACAGCAAGGAAACATGGCTGGGTGATGAGATGTGTGTACAGTGGGGAAACACCAGCAGGCAGTGAGATCAGCTGCTAGAGACAACACAATTGACCATAGTTGACCGTGATCTACACATTAGAGATGATGGGTATCATGTCATTGGACGAGAAGTTCAGAATCCCAGGTTAATGTTCTGGGGATATAGGCTCACATCCCACAATGGCAGATGGTGAAATCTGAATTAAATGAAAATCTGGGATTAAAAGCTAGTCTGTTGGTAATCAACCACTGCGATTATCTTAAAAATGCATCTGTTTCACTAATGTCTTTTAGGAAAAGAAGTCTGCCATCGTTACCTGGCCTGGATCCAAGATCAATAGCTATATGGTTGACTATTAATTGCCATCTGGGCAATTAGGGATTGTCCATATACTGCGAATCAATTAAAAATAAATGCATTTTAACACGGTTTTCTGTGGGAAAATCACTTTGTGTTGGTTTAAAAAAGACAATTTCAAAGAAAACAAATTCCTGTTTTATCCAAATAGCAGCTAAGTAAGTGGAGGTTTAACTTAATCTGATTGTACCAAATATAAAGGACAATAGTTTGCTTACAGTACAAGAGTGAGGCTAATGGCATTCCCTCACTTAACAGTCATGGAGAGATACAGCACAGAAACAGACCTTTTGGTCCAACTCGTCCATGCTGACCAGATATAAATCTGGTCCTACTTGCCAGCATTTGGCCCATATCCCTCTGAACCCTTCCTATTCATATACACATCCAGATGCCTCTTAAATGTTGTAACTTATACACAGAAGTTACAGCAATTTCAAGTAAGAGACGAAGATGAGATTAAAGATACAAATTTGTGAATTTCTGTCTGAAATGCTCCACATCACTGTTAACTTTACGAAAATGTCAACTCATCATCTCCCTCAAGCAACATTCATGTATGATTGGTGCTAATTATTGCCAAACAAGCTGACACTGGAAATTAACTATTACATGTGTGGCTTCTCGACCAGACTAGATTGATTCCAGGAATGAGCAGTTTGGATAGATTGGACATGATGGGCATGTTTCCACTGGAGTTTAGAAAAGTGACTTGATTGAAGTGTACGAGATCTTGAATGGTCTTGATAATGCAAATGTGAAAATGATGTTTCCTATTGTGGATCGGTCCAGAACTGGGGGCACTATTTTAAAATTAGGGGTCATTAATTCAGAACAGAGATAAGACATCTTTTTCCCTCTCTGAGGGTTGTGTGACTTTGAAACTGTTTGCCTCAGAAAACGATGGAGGCAGAGTCATTGAATATTTTTAAGGTGAATGTAGATAAGTTCTTTAGACAAGGCAATCAAGGGTTATTAGGAATTAATGAGAATATGAATTTGAAACGCAACAGATCAACTGCAATTTTATCAATTTGATTTATTGTTGTCACATGTACCTTGGTACAGTGTAAAGTATTGTTTCTTGAGCAGTACAGTATTGAATGGCGAAGCAGGTTCAAGGGATCTAATGATCTATGTCTGCTCCAATTTCATATGCTTGTATCTTATCTCTGAATTTTCATTGAGATTTTTAAAAGATAAAATTTAATTAAAGCCTTTTGCCTTTTTTACCTTCCTCTTTTAATCCAGTCTATATTTCTTTCCTTTTTTGGCATTAATTTAATTTAGTTGATTAAAGAAACGCACAATTGATAATTCTGTGCCCTATCTGCTCAAGTCTCATAGGTCCTGTTTCTCCCATTGCAATGTTATCAATTCATACTTTTCAGCAATTTACAATGCAAAGTTTCATTATGATTAAATAGAGAAAGACAAGTCTTATGATTTGTTGCTCTGCTGCAACAAGTTGTGGCTTAAAATATTATCTCTCAAGCCATTTGATCTTAAGATTTACAAACTGGAGAAAACTGAACAATTTGATACTTTTAGACGGAGCATACACGGCAGAGACTATAGTGCGGCACGGTGGCTAGGAACCTGGGTTTGATTCCAGCCTTGAGCAACTGTCTGTGTGGAGTTAGCACATTCTCCTGTGCGTGCGTGGGTTTCCTGCACATGTTCTGGTTTCCTCCCACAGTCCAAAGATTTGCAGGTTAGTTGGATTGGCCATGCTAAATTTCCCATTGTGTCCAGGGATGTGTAGGCTAGGTGGATTAGCCATGGGAAATGCAGCGTTACAGGGATAGGGTAAGGGTGCATGTCTGGGCGGGATGCTCTTCGGAGATTTGGTGTGGACTTGTCGGGCTGAATGGAATGTTTCCACACTGTGGGGATTCTATAATTTAAGAAAGGTGCTGCTTTGAGCAGAACTTACAACAGGCTTAAATGTTACCTGGGAGCAGACGTAGACCATGTGACCCTTCAAGTCTGCTCCACCACTCACTAAGTCATGCCTGAACAGTTTGTGTTTTGAGTTCTACACTCCTGTCTACCCAGTAACTTTTGATACGTTTAGCTGACAAGAATCTATCTAACTCTGCCTTAAAATTATTCAGTGTCCTTCTTGGGTTCATCTAGAGTTGCATCATTTATTTGGATAACTTTTAATTGCTGAGATATAATATAACTGCTTTCCACTTATTGATATTGGCGTCTTTCATTGAGGTAGAAAGTCTGCCTCTGATTTGGGAGGTTCCCTTTATATTACATTGAAGGGCATGAGTAATTCAGACTGAAACCTCAGCTGGGGGAGTGCTGCCCAGTTTGACGGCTCCTTTAAGATGAATCCTTAAATGAAGGCTTGGTGTGCCTCACTAGGATAGCATACTGAAATCAATCCCCACTATTCTTGGATTCATTAAAAGTTAATGATTTTGAGAAATATGCAAAACTCCCCAATTGACCTATCTCTTAGATCCATGATGACAGAAAGCATAGCCCAGGTTTCTGTACTTAATGAAAAGTTATTACAGATAAATAGATTCTAATGACAGTTAAACAATTATGAACTATTAATTCTGCTTGTCAAAACTGTAAGCCCATTATAAGCTCCACCTCTACACACCCATGCGGATTGACAAAGTCAGACAAACATGAGTGTTATGGATGGAGAGAAAGACTGCAGTGATCCCAGTTCACAGGGTTGCTGAGATGATTCTTATGCTAATCAGACTTTTGCTTTTCAATCTGTACTTAGATACCATTGTACCTAAGATGGAGCTCTCATTGGGTGACTGTAAACTTTTCACTGTATTCATTTGAGTACATGTGACAATAAAGCTAATTCTAATTCAGTTCAGTCTTCCTTCTCCAGATACTTCCATCTGTTTGCAGGAGGCACTCGGTGACTGGTTCCCACTTATAAAAATCTTTGACTTATCATTTAAAAGTCATGGCTTTCTGCAACTGGAAAGGGGAAATAAACTGGCTATCTTCAGGCTTGTGATACCTTTTACTGCACAGCAAGAAACAGCTCCTCCTCCTCCAGAGGTCTGTTGCTTTTTGCCAAACTATCCACACTTCCTCCCCCAAAGCTGTTCAGCTACATTAAGAGCTAATCATATAGTTGCTAGCAGGTGGAAGGTCTTTGTTGTCAATGTCTGGTCACTGTCCACAGACCAATCAGCTACTTGTTGCTATCCAAAACTCTGTTGCCCTTTATATTGTTGTTCTTAATATAATATATATTTTGCTAGGTCTTTGCAGGGTCCATCTGCCCTCTTAGGTAAAATACACTACAATGCTACTTGGGGGATATTCACAAATTTTCTTAGCCAGCACCATTCTGAACAAATGATCTGGTCATTAAATTAATTCTGTTTGTGGGCTGTGCACTATTTGGTTGGAGTGTTTGTTTCCCTGTATCACAATAATGACTACACTTCACTTCAAAAGTTCTTGATAACCTCTTGGATAATCAGATATAGTGGAAGCCAGAAGATAAATTTTTTTAAACCATATTTATGTCTTATGTCTCAAACTGTAAGGTATATCTTACATTCCCTGAACTCCATTTTGTGATTTTTAGCTTTTTTATGCTTATGTTTGATTTGATTTGATTTATTATTGTCCTATGTACCCAGGTAAAGTGAAAAGTTTTGTTTTGCATGCAGTACAGGCAGAGCATACCATACAAAGCTCATAGGGTAATAGAACAGAGCGAGGATACCTAGTTACAGCTGAAAAGAAGGTGCACAAAAGGGAAGATCGACATTAGATTTGAAATTTGAGATGTCCATTCAGCAGTCTAATAACAGTGGGGAAGAAGCTATTCTATGCAGCGTGGACTTATTTTCCAATTGTTAACTCCATTTTCTTGTTTTTAATTGTTTTATTTAATCCCATATCCTCTCCTTTTGACAATTTTTTGTGAGCGATGTTACTTAAAAATATTATGATTAACCAAAAATTCCCTAATATTTTTAATATTCCCAGATATTTTATCCTTCACAAATTGCCAAAACTGAAGTTCCTAGATGCAAAAAAAGTTACAAAAAAGGAATATGCGGAAGCAGCAACCAGAGGTGCCTTCATGAAAGTGGTGAAACCCAAAGATGATCTGGTAAGACAGCAGTTAACGACATAGTCATGCAATCTTTGTGTTGCTGAAATAGTCATGAATCCTCAAAACACATGAAAGGCAGGAAAGAAAATGACTTTTATATAGCTTCCTTAACATAATTTATACTTTGTTAATCTGGAAGTTTTTTTATTGCAAACAATACGTATACAAAACTATATGTGTGCAACTATTTGGCCTCTTAACTAATTTTTTCTTGTTCGGCTGATATAAATTTAAATCCTAGTTACCTTTTAAAAAAAACCAAGTCTCTCGTTCCAACACATCCATCTATCGTTTTCACTTTATTGCAACTTGTTTACATTTTGTTCTCTTTTCAAAGTGTTGACAATTTACACTTTGTGATCACTGGCATGAAAAAAATCTCCTGTAAAGTTGAAAGCCTTAATCACATATGGGAGTTTCTAATGACCAGATTTTGACCTCATTTCATTTACGTCAGCATAGATCAAAGTGGACTGGGCTGTCCAATTCTAGTAGTGTTGCAGGGTGTGACAGCACTTCACATCAAGATGACAGCTCAAGTGTAGGACAGTCAATTGCTCAATTATATCCTGGGCCTGTAATTATTCCTCTCTGTTTTTGCAAAGCCTGCATTTGTCATTCCATTGACATAATTTACCTTATGACCACCTCTCTAACATTTTGGTTGCAACCACGGCTGAAGAGATATGGAGGTAGTTTCTTTCTGTTTTGAAATTGATGAGGTCTGATATAGCATCCACAATAACCTCTGCAGGGCATGTATAAGACTGTGTTTAATTGCCTTCATCATCCCAATTGTCTGCTGACCAAAAGTGCAGGTCACCAATTACTGCAGCTGTGGCCAAACCTGCAGATAATTGGATTTTTGTTGCAGAACTGATGGCATAATTGGATATTTTTGTTATTTATTTTCAAGCTTTGAAGTTTTTCCTTCTTATAGATATTATGGCATTCACGAAGTGAATGAATGTTTACATGTCAATTCATGTTTTTTTTGTATATAACATTTGAAATCAAAGTAGTTGACAGCAATCCTGTGTCATTATTCAACACCTAGCCTATGAACCAGAACTTGTATGAACGGACTGAAAATCATCAGAGGTAGTAGGAACTGCAGATGCTGGAGAATCCGAGACAACAAGGTGCAGGGCTGGATGAACACAGCAGGCCAAGCAGCATCATAGGAGCAGAGAGGCTGACGTTTCGGGCCTAGACCCTTCATCAGAAAAGGGGGAGGGGAAGGGGGTTTTGAAATAAATAGGGAGAGAGTGGGAGGCGGATAGAACAGGGATAGAGGAGAGGATAGGTGGAGAGGAAACAAACAGGTCGAAGAGGCGGGGATGGAGCCAGTAAAGGTGAGTCTAGGACTGAAAATCATGTTCATTTTGAGTCCAGCTATGTTGGAACTCAATGAAAACATGGCAACATAACCACACACAAAAACAGAAATTGCTGGAAAAGCTCAGCAGGCTTGGCTGCATCAATGGAGAGAAATCAGAATTAATGTTTCGGGTAGAGTGACCTTTCCTCAGAACTGCAGCATAACCATGCTTCAGGTTCCAAGCTATTCTAGAACATAGTTATGTAAGTCCCTTCAGAGAGTCATCTTACAATGCTTTACCTTAGCATGATGTGGTAGATAATTAGTGCCAAGGAAGATTGTAAAATTATTTGGGTGTTCTTTAAAAATTGACAGCTTTTGTTTCCTATTTGGGATTAACGACCAGGGGTGTAGATTTATGGTAAGGGGCAGGTGGTTTGAAGGGTATATGTGGAAACCATTTTCACTCAGAGTGGTGAGAAACTGGAATTCACTCCCTGTAAGGTGGTCGAGGCAGAAACGATCATAACATTTAAGAATTGTTTAAATGTAGACTTACAATGTCAAGGCTACAAGACCATGCGTCAAATGCTGAAAAGTGGAAATACAATAGTTATGTAGTTGTTTATGACCAACACAGACTCAAAGAGCTGAAGGCCCTTTTACTGTGCTGTAGACCCCTGCGGCTGTATGACTCATTCTCATTTACATTCCCAAACCCATGCGCAGGCTTTGAATTGGAAAAAGAGGCATGGAACAAGAGTTGATTTTTGGAAATACGTTATGTCCTGTTTTGCCTCACGTTCCAGACTTCAGAATCAACATGTGCCCTAACAACTCTTTACACACTTCCATATTTGCACTCAAAATATATCTAAAGTGTGACTGGGGTTATGAATGTCTGGACGCATGTTTTGTCCTGGCAGTCAGACAAAATAATGGAATTCTTGTTGGCTACATTTTGCATTCCCCAATGGTATGACCATAATTTTAGTAAATCCCTTCTATCCAAGAATGTATAATGCACACCAGACTGTATAACTTGCTTCTTAGAAGCCTAAGCGTTTGTGCGTTGTCAATTTTGTAAGAATAGTGCAATAGAACATTGCTCCTTGGAAGCCAAAAGCAAGGCTGTAGTAGGCCTTTTGATAATGGGAAGGATCATGAAATCTCTGTTGGGTATTGCATTGGAATTGGTTTGAAAGTAGCATTGAGTAATATGACTGAAGGAGCTTTAGATGTTGCCTCAGTTTCTGCCCATTTATTTCTCATCGTCTGTTTTGGCCCCTCTGTTTCTGTGGCACTGTGCAATTTGACCAGATGCAAGTACTGCACTGTCCAGTAATATACAAGAATATGCTGATAATAAATGGAAGTGATTAATACTAATGTTGAAGATGGTGTTGCTCAGGAATTTGAGAGCAAATCCTGTGATGAAGTTGTGATCATGATTCTGTGTTTGTCAGAAGGCAGAAGGTTCCACTGCAGTGATGAAAAACAGATACTGAGTCAGAGAGCGAGCCCCCTAGGCAGAGTTTTACTGATGGTGGCTGTAGTGATTGTAATGAGGTCAGCCAGGGGTGCCTCATAGAATCTAAGTTCCCTGATTGGGGTTGTTAACCTGGGCCAATTGAGGAGCGCTGGCTGACAGACACAAACTGGAATGTCAGAGATATTGTTTACACTGAGAGCTGGCTCCGAGGAAGCTGGACCAGTGTCACATACTGTGCATGTGTAAATAAAGGGTGACTTGGTGATGGGCTACTGGTCTCTGTGGAGTTATTTCAGTGGCTGGCTAACAGGCCTGTAACAGGACAGCAGTTCAGTGTAGCATAGCATTTGGACTATCAGAGCTGCCAACTTATTCACAGCCTAATCAAAGGCACACTTGAAGGGCAAGTAAGTATTCATAGAATCATAGAATTTTACAGAAGGAAGCCATTTGACCCATCATGTCTGTGCCAGTTCCCAAAAGAGCTACCCAGCTAGTCCCATTCTCCAGCCCTATCTCCGTAACCCTCTAAATTTGTCACTTTCAAATATATATCCAGCTCTCTTTCGAAACCTCATGAAATCTGCGTCCACCACTCTCCCAGGCAGCGCATTCCAAATTATAGCAACTCTAAGTAAAGAAGTTTCTCCTCATTTTGTTTAATGTTTAAAGACCAGGCAGACCCAGTTATGAGTGGGATGAACCAACAATGATGTTGGAGCTGCAAAGGAAACCATTGTCACTGAGCCACATAATGGCCTTAAAGGAATGTTCCTCAGGAGCTTGCTGAAATGCCATTTTGACATACCTGAAGTCTCCCCGTATGGCAGTAAATGTTTCCTGACGCTGTAGACTGCCACTGGAATCCAGAAGTGGCTCTTAACTTACCAATGAGTTGGTTGTACTATTGCTGTTCCTCTGTGTGGGCACATGCCATGGTGGTCTTTTGGCTTGACTCCAGTGAGGTGATGAAATCCAGTCCATAGAAACATAGAATGAATGCACCACAAAGGAAGGCTATTTGGGCCATCACATCTGCACTGGGACTCTGCAAGAGCAGCTCATGAAGTCTCATTCCCTCAGCTTTTCACTATTGTCCTGCATGTCTTTCCTCTTTGGGTGATTTTGCAATTCTAGTACAAGGCTCTGCAGAACCGTTCTGTCAACCTTCTTCCAGTCTGAAAAATAAATGTTTGCCGCTAAGTTAATTTCTGCCATTCAGCCAACTTTGTATCCATGCTGTTACTGTCCCTTTTACATCATAGGTTTTAACTTTTCTCAAAGTGACAATTCATCAAATTTGAACTTTGCATACACCACATCAACTGCATTATCCTCATCAGCCATCTCTGTCACCTCGTCAAAGAACTCAATCAAATTATTTAAGTATTAGTTAACTACTCTGTATTAGCTTTCTTTTATTATACTGTATTTGTGGAAGTGACTAAGTTTTGTCCTAGATTATCACTTCCAAAACCTTTCATAATGCTCTGTCGAACTGACTAGACTGCAGTTTCTGGATTTATATTTACACTCCTCATGACCAAGGATGTAAAATTTGCATTTCTCCGGTCCTCGACCACCACTTAAGTCTACAGGGGGTACTGTAAAATTATGGTCTGTATTGGTGCATTTCCTACCCTTATTCCTTCAGCAGTCTCAGATATATCCAATTTCATCCTTTAGGTACAGCCAGCCTTTCGACTGCTTCCTCTATATCAATCTTCAGCCTATTCCATATCTCAACTCCTTTTTCACTATGACTTCGACTACACCATCTTTGGTAAAGGTAGATGTAAATTGCTCATTTAGTACCTCATTTATACCTCCATACTTAATCCCTTTTTTGTTCCCAATTGGTCCCATTCCTCTCTTACCTTTTACTATATAAGAAAATTTTCAGAATTCCTTCCATGACTGCTACATCTTTCTCATCGTTCAACTTATTTACTTTTCTACTTCCCTCCTGGACACTTATTATTCAGCCCAGTTCCTCCTTGTATTTTCAATCTGATGTCCATAATACAAACCTTTGTATGTGTCATTCTACTCTATTTCTTTATCCATCTAGGGGACAAGGCCTCTGGTTGCCCGACTTTCACCTTTGTGGGAATATACCCCAATTATACTCAAACCACCTTCTCTTTAAAGCTAGTCCATTTTTCTGTCAGAGTATTGCATGTC